TGTGACAGCGGCGGGGGGCGTCTGGGCCCGCCGTGGGAGCGCGCGTGTGCGGGGTTGTGGATCTGCAGGTGTCTCGCCTGGGTGTGTGCGTGCGTCTGGCTCCGAGTTTGCGCTGGGGTCTGCGGGGAGTGGTGGTGTCCGTGCGGGGGAGTGTGGGGGCTGTGGCCCGTCGGGGTGTGTGCGTGAGTCCCCGTGTGTGTTTGTGTGGCATTATGGCTGTGTATGCCGTGCCCGCGGGGTGGGTGCTCTGTTTACGTGTGTGTACCTGTGTGTGTGTGTGTTCTCTGAGAGTTGTCTGTGTGTGCTGCTTGGGGGTGATTCTGTGGGTCTGTGTTGCCTGCATGTGCTGGTGTGTTGCTTGAGTGGAGCTGTTTTGGTGTTTCTGTGTGTGTGTCTTGCCCGATGTGCTGTGTTTGTGTGCTCGTGTGTCTTGCCTGTGTGTACTGTCTGTGTATATCCCCGGGGCATGTGTCTCTGCTAAGCGTTGGTGACGGTGTGCCTGCTGAATGCCGATGCCTGTTTTCTCTTCAGGTGTCTGTGTGAGTTCTGTGTGGGGTGTGTGTGTGTGCGCGGGAGGGTTGTCTCCGTCTGTGTTGGGCTTGTGTGTCTGGCATCGCGTCTGAGGATTGAGGACCGTGGCTCTGCAGGGTCTGTGCAGTACGGTCGGTGGGTGTTGCTGGCAGCCTCTTGATGGGGCTGTGTCTGAGCCCCTGTGTGTGTGTGTGTGTGTGTGTGTGTGTGTCTCAGGTCTGAGGGTCTTGTCTCTGTGAAGGGCTGGCTCCTGTGTCATGTGGCTGCGTGTGTGTAGTGTTTATGTCAGTCACGTGAGACCAGTGTTTTTGGTGGGTGCCTTAGGTGTGCGTGCTGCCAGGGCTGTGTGGGATTAGAGTTGGCTGTGCCGTGTGTGTGTGTGTGTGTGTGTGTGTGTGTGTGTGTGTGTCCGTCCGGGGCTGACAGTTGGTGGTGTTTTGAGGTTGGGGGAGGGGGGGAGGTTGACGCCTGCTGCTCTGCCTTTGCGTCCATGTGTGGTTGCCGGCGTGTGTGGTGATGTATCTGGGTCTGGTGACATGTGTCTGTGTCTGCCTGATTTAGCTGTGTCCTGGGGTCTGAGAGTTGGTGACAAGTGGGTGTGTGTTGATTGTGTTGGTCTGTGGATGTCCGTGGATGCCTGTTTTGTGTTGATCTGTGTGTCCCGAGGTGTGTAGGTCTTATCTTTCGGGTGTGTATGTGCGTGGGAGGGGCATGTGTGTTTGAGAAGTGCCTAGTTAGTGTGTTTCTGTCTGTGCTGGTGGTGGCTGCATGGTGTGTGTGTGTGTCCCTGGGCATATCAACAGTAGGTCGGTGTGTGAGATTCTGACAGATTGTATATGTGTGTGTATGGGGGTGGAGAGATGGGTTGTGTCAGCCAGTATGCATTGTGGGTATAGCTCTTCTGATGGTCTGAGTGTGTGTGTGTGTGTCCATGTTTTGGTCAGTGTTTGTGTGTGTGTCCGTCCTGTGTACTGTAGTAGCTATGTCTGAGACAGGGACCATCTTGGTGTTTCTGTGCAAATGGGAGATGAGGTGGGAAGTCAGGCTGGCCAGTCCTGCGTGGGTTCCTGTGTGTGTTGTGTACCCTCACACACACCCCAACAGTCTTCTCCGTTTGGGTCCTGTGTGAGTCCCTGTGTGTGTTGTGGAAGCATCACAGCGCCTGGCTGCCCTGTGTGTGCCCATCACTGTGTTCTGGAAGTTAAACCCCACCACTCCTGCCCTGTGTGAGTCCCAGGGTGGGTGAGTTTGTGTTGTGGGGCTGTCAACCCTCGTACACACACACACTTGACAGACCCCTCCATCTGGGTCCCATGTGAGCCCTTGTACTTGCTGTGACAGCCGTCCTGTGCCTCCTTGTCCCTCATGTGTGCCTATCGCCATGTGCAGGGGAGGCTGTCCCTGCCAGCCTGCCCTGGGTCAGCCCCTAGGTGGGTGTGTGTCTTGTGGGGCCATCACACACACCTACGGCCCCGCCATCTGGGCCCTGTGTGTGTCGCGGGCGCCATCCTTGGGCTTCCCTGTCCCCCCCCTCACCGTGTGCTCATCACCGTGTGCAGGAGTGGGACGCCCTGACCCCGGGTAGGGTGCGTGCGCTCTGGGGCGCCGGTGCCCTGCACTTGCCGCTGACGCCCCTCTCCCCTGTCCTGCAGGCCCCAGGGAGCGCCATGGCCCGCGCACGCCAGGAGGGCAGCTCCCCGGAGCCGGTAGAGGGCCTGGCCCGCGACGGCCCGCGCCCCTTCCCCCTCGGCCGCCTGGTGCCCTCGGCCGTG